AACTAAAAAGGAAATAATAAAATACGTTAAACTAAGTAAATATAAGGTGACAAGAAAAACTTGTTATGGTGAAAAATAAAAATTTTGCCAGCTGTCAATCCCCGACAACAGCACCAAAAACTTGATCACTTGTAAATGTATATGCTAAGGCAAGCAATTATGTTCAAGTATACACAATCGAATCAAGCAATATAGGGTAAGTGAGTTATCATCTCCTCAGGGATTGGTTGAATGCTTTTAAGCTCCACCATAACTAGAACTAGTTGTCACAAGCTAATTCCTACTATCTTGTCAAACTAGAAAACTATTAGTAATTAAGCAAGAAAATATTATAAAGTATGATTGTAGAAAAGTTTGGTCGAAACAAAAATAAGTTTGCAAAACTATCGAAGTAAATTAAATAAAGCAAGGACAAATGTTGATTCAAATATATCTAGAATAACCTCATATATTCAGACTTATCACAGAGCACTCATGTTAATCTCTTGTATTGACAAGCAATTATTCTAAGTCCAGAATGAATTGTTATGACATGCTAAAGTTTCCGACAGGATTAATAAAATTCTTAGACGGTTGCTATGGCAATACGACTAAGCGTTAACTACAACCCTTTGTCAGACTGTTGTTGTAGCAATACCTCTCATCGTAAACTATAGTGGTTGTCTATCCTACTTTAGCGGTTATCCCTTTTATTTGATTGAAACCCGCTCCTTATTTCTAAGGTAGACAAGTTAGAACATCACCATCCCGGATCTATTCTGTTGTTCACGTAGATCTATCTTAATTCTCTCGAATCTAAGAACCTATATCTAGACAAAAGGTAATCTCTCGACGCTCTTACATTGCCAAGACATGTTTTACCAAGACCCCAGGCAATCTGTCGAAGCTCTTACAGTGTCAAGACGAAATATTTAAACAATGAACAAAACAGTTATGAGAAGAATCACAATTCATCATTCATAAAGCAGAAAATAATTATTTAGGCAAAACAAATATTAACACCAAGTAAGACAGTTCATGGTGTTATCGAAAAGACAACCAAGTATCATCATTTTAATACAACCCCAAATGCATAAAGAAATTAAGAACAAAAGAAGAACGACTCCCAAAACCGGGGGCTCTGTCGTGACAATTCTGATCAACACTGCACCTGCCCTGGCGGTCAGCCTCTCTCGAGACCTGACCACCGCTTTGCAACAGTCTGGCTATGGAGGACACCAAGGAAGGTCAGTTAGTAAATGGTGGGAAAGCACTATAGTTGCTCGCTCGTACTTCAAGTAAAGCTTGTTATTCTTCCTTGCCTCCCCTTTTTGGCGGCTATGGTTGGGTATTTATAAAGGGAAATCTCCTAGGGTTTCGCATAAATAAAGATTCCCTATATACTCGTTATTGTCTTTTCCAGGCTAATAAAGGAAATACGACTAGATGTTGTCAGAATCTCTAGGGCTTACTTGCACGTGAAGGAAGTCGTACAGCTGGCATATGACATGGGCGATTTTGTCGTATCCACTTCAGAATTTCCAGATAAACCTTTCCTTGGCGAGATAAATCTGCTCCTCACTTTCTTTAACTTCTCTATCCCATTGGCCCTTACAAATTATGTTGTCACAACTGAAATATTCTTCCTAAGTAAATTTCCTGCATAATCCACACATACCCTTTCTCTTTAGTAGCATCAGTCAAACCAAATAAATTTTTCCGAATCAAAACTTATCCACCATAAATATAACCTAAATGCAACTAAAATGTTGTGCATACTTTGTTTAGACGAGCAATAAGTTAAGTAAAAAGACTAGAAATTGAATCTTTTTGTGGAGTTATCACATAACCATATTTCCCTGAAGAACTGAACAAATGGGCTACATAGGATCTTCTTGTAGTTTTTATATTAAATTTAGAGTAATACTCGAAACTAGCCCTTATGCTTTAGCCTGCAAGCATTAAGGAATCTTTTGTGAGTGATACTATGTTAATTCTACTTTTTATGCAATTGAATATGATTTCTTTCATCTCTCAAGTGGTAATCATTTTATACATTTTTTATTCTTTATCATTATTTTACAATCTTTATTATTTACAGTTTTATATTCATTCATTCATTCCATAACACATTAATTTCTCTTCATAAATACATATATTCATTCTAAATTTTCTTTGCATGTGTCTCAATCATTAATAACATGAATGTTTCTAAATTTAATCATAAGATAAATTTGAAGTGGCTCATGTGTCTAGAAGAAGTCAATGAGTGTGAAAATAAGGTAGAATATGATGTTTCTAATAAATTATGAAGACTGATGAAAAGATAGGATAAACAAACCCTATCTCACAAATAATAAATCAGGATTATGAATCTGGGGATGAATGAAGAAAGAATAAAAGTGAGGATTGGCATTGTTTTGTCATATTAAACAAGACAAGAGCTAATAGAGTTGCTTCGAGATTTCAAAGACATATTTTCTTGGTCTTATCAAGATATGCCAGGGTTGAATACAAATATAGTAGTGTACAGGTTTCTCATAAGGCCTAATCATAAATCAATTCAACAAACTCTTAAAAGAGTGAGGTCTTAGTGTTGTTATAAATTAAGGATGAAGAAGATTAATGTGAGATTCCTCTAAGCTGCCAAGTATTTAATGAAGGTAGCCAATATAGTCCCTGTGCTAAAGAGAAATGGAGAAGCACACATGTGTATAGACTGTAGAGATCCCAATAGACCAAGCACAAAAAGCAATCTCTTTAACACCATATTGATACTTCGTTGATAACACTACGAGAAGCAGCTTGTCAGAAGGCTATGATGCCTCTTTCCCATGACATGATACAAAAAGAGATTGAAATGTACATGGATTAAATTATTGCCAAATTATAAACCAAAGAATATCTCATCTAGAAGTTGAGAAGATTTTTTCTAGAGATCGAGCAAGTATCAGTTGAAGTTCAATCTATCCAATTGCACTTTTGGGGTAACATCAAGAAAGCTCTTGGGTTCCATGGTCAGTCAAAGAATAATCGAGATTGGCTCAGATAAAGCAATCCAAAATCTCCCCCACCTCAAGCGTAAAAATTTTGAGGTTTTCTTGGGAGGTCAAATCCTATTCCTCGATCCATTTCTAAGATAACCAATGAATATGATCTAGTTGCCTCCGATGGTATGAGATGATGAGTGCCAAGAAAAAGTCTAGAAGTATTTCCCAAATGCTCCAGTTCTAGTGACACAAGTTCTAAATGGAACCTCCAACGTTAACTGGAAGAATTGCTCGATGGAAAATGTTGATGTCAAAACTGGATATTGTGTATGTGAGCCAAAAAGTAATGAAGGAATTGCCATAGCATATTTTCTTTCAAGTCATGCCTTACATGATAATGAATCCCTTAACTTTAATTTTCCAGATAAAGAAGAGGATATTGTTTCAAAGGGTGAATCCTAGAAGCTTTATTTTGATGAAGCATCTAATGCTTTGGGATAAAAAACAAGGACATTGTTGATTTCTTTAGAAAATGTTTGTTACAAATTCACAAGCTAACCAGAGTTCTTTTTCACTAACAATATGGTATAACTTGAGGTTTACCCTATGGGGATAAGCGTGACCATGTAAAGAACGTTAAAGTGGTAAAAGTATATGGAGGTTCCTCGTTAGTAGTTTATTAACTACAATGATAGTGAGAATTGTCACAAGAAATTTCCTTTCGTCGTATATGCATGTCAGACTTTAGTACATACTTCAAAAGGGGCAATATCTTTGCTCTTTGGTATTGGAATAAAAGCAGTCTTGCTCGTTGAAGTCAAGAATTTGATATTTCAAGTCTTGAAAAAAGTAAAGTTAGGACGTAGCTGAATGGGCTCAAGCTCGATATGATAAGTTGAACATCATTTAAGAAAAGAGGTTAAAAGTTTTCTACCATGGATAGATGTGTCGGAAGCAAATGATGCGAGCTCATGACAAGAAAGTTTTTCCAAGAGGATTCCGAGAGGGTGATCTAGTGAAAAGATTTTGTCAATTCATAAAGATTTCTATGGGAAATGAATGTCTAATTGGGAAAGAACCATACGTTATCAAAAGGGTCTTTTTCCGAAGAAGCGTTAATTTTGACATAAATAAATGAAGATGAATCGAGTGATCCAATAGTGCTACACTTGAAGAAAAAGAAAAATGAAAAAGAAATAAAAATGAAAAAGAAAAAGAGATGAAAATTAGAAAAAGGAAAAAGGAAATAGAGAAAAAATAAAAATGAAATGAAATGAAAGAAAGAAAGAAAAGAGAGATATTTTGTAACATCACTTTCTAAAATCATTTTTCAGAAATATTTTGTAACATCACTTTCTAAAATCATATTTCAAAAAACGATGTTAAACTTGATTGGATCGGTTCACATCTTCTAAATTTAGATAATCTTCTTATTCAAAAGCCTAAAACTGATAAAATTTTAATAAAAATTAAATATTTTTATTTTCTTACTTCCGTATTAATATATTCTAATGGAGGAGTTAAATTACTCAGTATTAAAAAGAACCTTGAATATTGATACCTTTTTATCTTGTTCATCTTTAGAGAAAAGAAATCTTTCCGCTTTACTGCTTTGGAGTTTCATATTGGCTGTCAAAATCATATAGAATGAATTGGAATATCTTCTAGGACTAACCCAGAATTTATAATAATGTTTTACACACAATATATACCCAAACATGTAACATACATTTTGGCATATAATTTCTCAATCCTTTTTCCTGTAAAAAGACTGGAGAAATAATGAACCCAAGTTCCATGGAGCTTAGCTTGAGTCTTAAGCCAACATATGTGCCTAAATCCTTGAGCAGCTTGTTCTTAGAGCTACCGAGGATTGATAATGAGTACTATAAGTTATCGGTGTTGAGTGATTATATTCGCAAGCATGAAGACGAGTTAACTGGGGTTGAAGCTTTAAAGCATGAACTTCCTCAGTGCAAGCTGCTTCTAACGGAGGGTAAACTCATGCTTCAAAACAAGAATTCAAAGAAATTGTTTCCATTTTCTCTTTAGTTCCTGATTATTTCTATCTTTTGAAACGTATAGCCATTGAAAACTTAAAGGAGGAATTCCTAAACATAAAGAAGAATATGCAAACCAAGAGGGAAATCCAGGAAATTGCATGCATTACTACAGAAGAAGATTGTGCAAAGAAGCAGAAAACATTAATCCCGGATAATAATTTCCAGGTAAAACAGAGATATAAGCTTTAACAAATCTATATATATATATATATGCATATTTTTTATGAATGATTTCCAGGAAAGAAGTATGGAAGGGTTATTTTTGGCATGCAAAGAGAGTAGATGGATTAATTCTCTTGGAGCATCAAGCAGTGGAAATTATAACCAAGGTTTCTTGTATCTGAACAAGAAAGAAGATGAAGGTTTCAATAATTATGGTGAACTAAAGCCACTGACTCAACCCTTTTGGAAGAACAATAGAATTTGTTGGTCTTCAGAGCTTCATTCAAGATTTGTGGAGGCTCTGAACATGGTTGGAGGCATTGAAGGTCTGATCACTGAACATCATATATATAATTAGTTTGTGCATGGGAAGTTGATATAATAGTTTTAATTGTTTCCTTCTCTTTTTTTTCATGTTGGGCATGCAGTGGCTGCTCCTAAGCAGATTAGAGACATGATGAAGGTTGAGGGGCTGACAATTGATCAAGTAAAAAGTCATTTGCAGGTTATTTAATTTTTTTATGCTCAATCATTAATGCATGCATATATATATATATTTAAACTGAAATTATCAAGTGATCTCAGTGGTTAATGTGAGCGTTATTCATCTTATCCTGGATTTAAACAGTTGCATCTGCAAAGTATGTGTGCATTTGTCAATGGTTAATTACAGGCCGTCCCAAAAGATATGGAGACTTTGTGCTATTTTTTAAAATGAGACCCCTAAAATATTGTATAATAAGATGAAATTATAAAATATTAAAATTTATCATATTATGATTGTGTCTTATAAAATTAAAAAAAAATCAAACATATGAAATTAAGACAATGTAACCAAACAACTCTATAATTGTGATATTTTATTTAAAAAAATATCATCTTTCAAACCAGTGCGGGAACTTGGTGATAAATTTTGAGGGCACACCTTAAAATTTTAAAAAGTTTAATGATTTAAATTATTATTTTTTTTAAATTGAAGGTTCAGTTTACAATTGTTTTCAAAAATATGGGGTCTATCTAAAACTTTTAAAAATCTGAGAGATTTAATGAAAATTTTTAAAAATTATGAGAGAAAATTAACTAAAAAATTAAAAAAAATTAAAGATTAATCTAAATTTCTAAAAATTTGTTGGGGACCTAATTAATTTTTTTGAAAATTTAAAGATCAAAATTATAATTTTTCAAAATTTTGGGGCCGTGGCCCACATATGCCCCATTTTGTTTGCATCTGCCTCAAATGCTCTTAGAAGCAAAATCGTAGTATGAATCATTGATTTTGAAGTCCTGTGACGTATCATATGTCACACTTGATGGACGAACCTGATTAATTATGAAAGATTATAGACCTATATTACTTCATAATTAAGTTTAAGTATATATATATATATAGATATAGATATAGATATAGATATAGATATAGATATAGATATAGATATAGATATAGATATAGATATAGATATACTTAAACTTAATTATATATTTGTACACTTTAGAAATATTAATTTTGTAAAAAAAAAATAGTGTTTTTTTCCAAATAGTATGGGGTGATTATAAGTTGTATTAGTATATGTTTATAATCTTTCTTAACTATTGTCAAGATATACACAACCATTGATAATATACACATACCTTACACTCATATTTATTCAAACTTAAGTCTTTTAAGATAATCAATAATCTCTTATACCACTGTGGACATCAATGAATTTAAAAATGGCATTTCATTTCAGCCTCAGTTTATACTGTTTTAGAACACATAATAATCTTTCTAAATATGTATTAATTTCAGAAATATAGGCTTCGTTCTGGTAAGGTTCGGTTGCAGTGCTGATGGATCAACATCAGGAGCTTTCTGAACCCGCAGATGTTGGCCAAAAAAATGAATAATGTTAGAGGTTCCTCCAACTCACAAGCAATGAATGCTTCTGGAATAGGAAGGCCCTTCATTTTATTAGAGAGCTAGCTACCTGGATATATAGATATAGATAGTATTTTACACATTAATATATGCTTTATATTTGTAGTTTTTGTCTAATGAATTCATTTGCATTTTAATGCTAAAGAAAAATAGAACTCTAAAAGTTACGTTTCCTTTCATCTATGATCAAAGAAATGGATATTTGATTTATTTTCGAAGATATTTTTCTCAGGATGTTCAACTTAGATTTACAATTGTCAGTGATCTTTCAATAGTTTAATCTCTTATTATAATTCGTTTATCGATACAATCAAATTTATTCGAGTATTTTAGATGGATTTTAAATCTTTTTCTTGTATGGTCTCATGTTTTAGATATTTTCTCTTTTTTTTAATAAAACTAACCATTTGTATTTCTATAAAAAAGTATTTTTCATCTTCTCAATTTAATCTAGCAAATGATTAAATTATAATTTTTTATCATTGAAATCTATTCACTTTTATTTTAACTATTAATATTCAAAAAAATTAATTTAACCACTCAATTTTAAAATTAATTTACTTTAAATACTCGATCGTCAAATCATAAAATGTAACCATATGATTTATTTTATTCACATTTTATTATGACATGGCTCTTTATTAAATAGAGTAAAATACCTAAATCTTAATCTCAAGCCTTAAATCCTAAACCTTAATCTCAAATCTCTCATCTAAACCTTCACCGACCATTCCAACCTCCAAACTCTCTCCGACCATCCCAAATCCCCAAACTCGTTGCCCTTGCCCTTGCAGTTTGTGTCCTATGTTACCAACCCTGTCAAATTTACCCATTTGTTTATCTTCAAATTAACATCTACAACTTTCGAAATTAGGGTTTATTTAGGGGGTCGAGGCTCTTCTTAAAATAATTGTTTTTACTGGAGTTAAATGGTTGGTCAACTTTTGTCCCGTGAGGTCAAATAGTGTTAAGTAAGCCAGCCAAATATACCATATTAGGTTTTCGTTACTTGATAGATAACGACCGAGTAATCTATTTGTTATTGTTAAATACTCATTTTAGTGTTTTCGGAACTTCAACGGCGAAGAAAGACTTACTTCATGATCATTTATATAATTTACCCAAACATTTAATTCTTCCTTATCAATTCAATTTTCACAAGTTAAATGTTTTGTTTCAATCAGCATTGGCTTTTGGGATTATCTGGATTGGGTATTTTTCATTCTACGCATGTGTTGGATTCCGTGCTTTTAAAGTTTTTTTTCCTGATGCTTTCATAGGTATAATTCAAAATGGATTTCCTTAGTTTTATTGATTCATGTTTGTTTCTGGGTTGATGATATTTTGGTTGTTGATGGCTTTGTTGCTGTTGATTTCAATGAAAAATTGAGCCTTGGAATGGTTTTGTTATTAGCTGTTATTTTTAATCGCCAGATTGATTATTGATTGTTTTGTTGGTATTTTGATTTCTTTTTATTAAAGGAATGAATGGTTTTGCTAATTATAAATAAAGCCCTAAAAAGATCGTTACTTTGTTAAGAAGAGAATTGGACAAGGAATTCTTAAACTTTGTTTGCTTTTCCAGGTTATAGTGTTCAGTAAAACAGCTTTATTTTGTTGCGTCAAAGGGTTTGCTGTAAATATGATAGACGTATTCATTTTCAACTTCAATTTTGCATATTCCTAGCCACGGAATTGTAAATCAATGTCTTTTAACATTTTTCAACTGGGTCTGATAAACAGTAAATAAACAACTTGCATATAGTTTTCTCATAGCATTTTTTTTTTTTTGAGGATTTCATGCCAGGTATTCTCTGTATAAAACATAGTTTGAAATGTTGGAGATTTGAAGAGATCGTGGTACGTGTCGGGCTCAGCTTTCGCGCTGTTTACAAGCATCCAGGAAGCCTATCACAGTATCGGTACTAGATTGAGATTGAACTGAACCTCCTTGTCTGTTCCTTCCATGGCCTAGTAAACCCCTCTGCATGATTCATGTCCAAAAGCTCGAGAATCAGTGTAATTGCAGCAAATCACATCAACTCATTATAAAGGCACTTTAGGGTAACACAAATATAACCATAGGAAATATCATAGTTTCAAATCGCGGTTACGGTCACGTTTTTTATTATTTTAGATTTATCGTGATTGTGGCCGTCGCGAGCGTTATTACAGCCGTCGCGGACGCTATTAAGCGCTATTACGAGTGTAGCGGGTAACTCGGATGACGGCGAAACCACTATTTCGCGGGCGCTATCACGTTTTCGGACGGTCATACCCAATTGTCAAATAAGGAAACTGTGGTTGTACGGATGAGTTTTTGGCAGGGTTTTGTGCATGTTCTGACGGCGTCTGCTCTTTCTCTTTCAGCTTTATCCATGGCACAAGTACTACTAATGAAGTCAATAATGAAACTAGAAACTTCATGTATTTGATGAATATGTCTTTTCCTTTTTTGCAAGATTGTTGTTCCGGTCATGCAATGTCCTTTCCTGTCACCACATTCAATCTCAAAATATATCCACTCAATAATCTCTTCTTCTCTTTTCGGATTTAATCAATGATTTTTAAGTATTATAATCCAAGTCATGAACGAGATCTTGCTCTCTTCTGCAGCAGTGAAATGTACTCGTGCATGAGTTTATTCTGCATGTAAGAACCAATTAAACTTAAAACACGCAAATAACTGAAACAAGATGTTGAATTTTCAAATGCTTGTTATACCTTTCTATTTCTTATGCGCTTCAAAGAATTACCAATTTGTTGTTCCAAAAGTTGCGGGTCCCTCAGACTCAAGGTATCAAGCCCTTCTCCTTGGAACTGTCTGCAATCATGGACCGAGGGTAAGTAGAAAATATAAAGGAAAGCTCAGATATGGGAGCAACTTTCAAAAATATGAAGTTACATTTGTACCTCAAGTTCCTTTGTAAAGCTTCAACAGTTGAGTGATTTTGGAACATTCCAAAGACAAGTTTGCCTGTGTAGCATTGACAAGAACTTTATGGTTATTTCTCAAATCCAAAGGTCGTTATTGTAGTATATATTTATATTAAATATAAATATTGTGAAATCACAGTATAATCTGGAATGAGTACTCCGACAATGTACATTTTGAATAAACTTCATGATATGATGCAAGGCATACCTGTGATTCAGAACCAGTTGGAGCAAGCTGCCTCGCTGCATATGATTTTTGTTCATATCGTTCTAGGATTCTATCCATGCTGTAATAACAACACAAAAAGCTAACTAAGAAAAATACTTACATAAAGTTAAGATCAAATATTAAAAGAAAGTAAATTATTTTTACATAAAATAGATTTATTATACATTGGAGTTCAAAATTTGAAAAATAAAATAAAAATTTTCTTTAACTAATATTTAAATTTAGAAAAATTAGATATCATTATACCAATTTGGAAGGGGTTATAGCCCTTCCACTCCCTTGATCACTCGTCCTTGCATACATAAATATGAACAAAGAAATGAACTATATTCAATAAATAACATGTTCTAAGAAAATTTACACAACCTCAAGAATATTTACTGCAAATGCAAGGAATTATGGTACATATGACTCATATATCTCATTTTCCTTGATGTTCATGAGTTTTTGTTTTTATATTTTTTTTATTAATATAATATTCAAATTGGTCAAATCAATTTCCATTTACATATGTTATTATATATTTAAATAAATTTAAATTTATGTATTTTTATATTATAATATAAAATGTCATTTAAATTTAAATTTATTATTATTACTATTATTAAACAATGTGTTCTAAGGCTATTACGTTTGTATATCTTTTATGAAAAGTGAAAGGAAATGACAAAAACAGTGATGCATTCAAGAAAAAGAGCTATTTTTTTCACTCATCTTATTAGATGAGTTATTATCTTTCAAATCATAATTATTCATTTACTCGTTTATGATGAGCACTCGACTCCAATGAATTCAATGTGATTATTATATGTCACATCACAAAAATGTCATTATTAGATACAATTTATTTAACTAAATTAGAAAGAGGATGCGGATTAAAACCGTGAAAAATACTCAAAATAAAATCAGATTAAAATTTAAAGGAAATATATTTAATTAACAGAGTTATAATAACGATTTATATTAATATATCAATAATGTATGATTTTATTTATTATTAAAATGTCACATTTAATATATTTTTTGGATAAACAAATTATATCATTTATAAGCAAAATGTTTGCTACAACTAGAACCCAATTCCTACTATAGCATCTACAGCATTTACAAACAGTTTGAATATTAACAGGACTATCCCTAACACGATTTTAATACATAATTATAATTGTATATATCATAAAAATATCAAATATAAACTAATAATGTTATAATTAGACACAATAACATTTAATTAAGTGGCTAATACTATGTTGAAAGATCAATATGGATATTGTAAACGACAAAGTTACATTGCTTTCCTCACTTTCCATACATAATGCCCATGAACATAGCCAATGTCATTAGGTGGCAATCTAATGAGAGAAATATATATTATTGTGTCTAATAACACCAAGCCCTAAACATGGCACAAAGCTCTAGGAAGTTTACCTAAGCTTATTTGGCCCTTCAAACTTGAATTAATGACAAATCTTAACCAAACTCCCATAATCAAAGGGCAATGTCATTTGAATTAACTTAAACCAGAATTATAAATATGATAAACGATCTCCATAATAAAAGGGAATTTTATTATTTTTAGTGGACTTGAGTTAGCAGTTGTGTCTACTATGGGTGAGCATTCAATCGAGTCAAGTCGAGTAAACAAATTTTCGAGTTATTCGAGTTGAAGAGTCACATTTTACAACTCAAACTTAACTTAAAAAATTTTCGAGTCGAGTTATTCGAGTTTATATGCTGATTTCGTTATAATTGTTTATAATATTATGGTAAGGATTGGTTCCAACTTTTTGACTTTCTTTAACCATATAAGATATATATATATTTCATATTCTTTTTCACATTATAACGTTATTTAATATATCAAATATAATCTAAAATTATAAAATATATTCACATTATTATATTTTAAAGAAAGTATTTTGAAGGTAAAATATTGATGAGAGTGCAAATGAGTAAAGGAATTGATGGGAAAAAATTTGTAAACAAATTCAGTCAAAAGACCGAATCAAGTAAAATACAAAGTTAATGGACTAAAAAAAAGAGAGAACATTTTTAGTAAAAAAAATGAATTGAAGTTACATAGATATTCTATAGTAGTATATGAGCATGTGACTCAAATTTGGTAAAAAAGAATATAAAAGAAAGAGAAAATAACCTCAGTGAAAAAAAATGCCTTATAATATAAGATTTTAACCAACTTTTTTTTGATTTGCCAAAACGACCAACTAAATCGCAATGCGATCGATAATTCGCAACGCGATCTCCGATATCGCAAATCAGTTTCCAGATTCGCAACGCGATTCTGACTATCGCATTGCGATTTTCCAAATTCGCGTTGCGATTTTCCGACTATCGCAATGCGAATATGTAAATAGCAACGCGATTCTGACTGTCGCAACGCGATTCTTACTATCGCAACGCGATTCTGACTATCGCAATGCGATTTTCAAAGCGCCATTATTATCGCAACGCGTATTTTTTTTTCAAATTCCAAACACGAATATTAATATATTGGAACACTGAACAGTCCACAGTATATCCCGTAATCGCAACTCATAACCTAAAACCCTAAATCACAACTCAGTCACATCTCCATCTCTCACTCTCTAAGGCAACATCCGTCCCCATCTCTGACGAAATCAGTCCCCATCTACGGCGAAATCCGTCTATCTCCATCTCTCAGAGCCACCCTCACAATCATTCACGGTCAGAAATGGAAAATTAACCAAATCAACCACTGAGGGTTAGTTTTTTTTTTTTTTTTTAAATTTTTGCATTATTATTAGGTTTTTCATATTGAAATTGATAATAAGTTTACTGGTAATTTCAATAATAGATTAACCATTTCATTTAGATTGCTTATTAAATTCATTCGATTACTGCCAATACTGCTAAACTGTTTAGTCTTTAAACCCTGTGAATTTAGTATTTGTCTTTGTTTTGTCTTTTGGTTGAAGTAATGCAATCCATTCAAGTTTCAATTTTAGTATTTGAAACCGAGAATCGCAACGCGAAATGAAAATCGCAACGACAGAATCGCAATGTGATTTTAGTTTCGCGTTGCGATAGTCATTTTCGTGTTGCGAGTTTCATTTTCGTGTTGCGATTTTAAGTTTCAGAAACTATTCTTCTTCTGCAAATTGAAACTTGAATGAATTGCATTACTTTAACAAAAAAACAAAGACAAATACTATACTCACAGTGTTACAAATTTAAGTTTAAAGAATAAACTACTACTCTTTATGTTTATTGTTCTTGGTATATCTTCACAGTGTAGTTTTTGGTATATCTAACTTGGTATATTTATTGTTTTTGTAGAACTTTTATTCGGCTCAATTGACCTTAAGAAATAAATTAAGCCTGGCCAAAACAATTGCGTCGAAGCTTTCACCTGCACAAAGAAAAATATTTGAGGATACTTGCTTCGGGCCATGGCTGAAAGTACAACATCCGAGTGGAGATGCTATGTTGATCCATCTGTTTCTTCAAACCATGACTAGCGATCTACCAGAGACTATACAACGTCGTGATGAAGAGATATGGTTTGATTTTCTACCGGCGTATACGTGTTTTGGGTGGGAGGAGTTTTGCTTAATCATCGGTCTATGCTTCGAACACGATGATGTAGGTCGGTACACTAGACATATTACCCGCCTATCATGGTTATCCCGGGTTTTTCCTGAGCTGTCAATAGAGAAGCCGAATTTACACGTGGAATACTTGACGAGATTATTGAATAAGAAAGATGGTTTTACTCGGATGGATGACGTCGATGTTGTCCGAGTATGCCTTCTAATACTTTTGCATGCCGACTTTTTAGGCAGAGAGGCCAAACAACCTATTTCGAATGATCTAATTAAATTGGTATAGGACCTAAATGCATGAAACCTGTTTCTGTGGGGTTTGTATCTATGGAAAGCTACATGGAATAAGTTGTCGTCTGCCTTTGATGATCGAAAAAGTTTGCGTGGCGATGGTTCCAAATACACTTTGTCAGGCTTTATTTAGGCCTTTAAGGTAAGAATTTTTATATAATGTTTCCAAAATTATAATTAATTATTATTTAACAATTACTAATGTTTGTTATTATATTGTTTGTAGATTTGGATATTTGAGGCCTTTCCCGCCATGCAGACATATGCATTAAAAACTTCTAATGATATTCCTAGGGCTATTTCCTGGAAGAGGAAATGGACCTTGCAGCAATGGGAAAATTTACTACCATATACGACAATAAATAATGTAAGTTAACACAAATACTACCATATGTTTATAAACAAGTTATTACTAGTACACGTTTAACTTTGTTTGAGCTTTTATATTGTTAGGAGGCCAACACTCCATTACAGAGGCTGACACCCACGGAAGCTGAGCTTGCCACTGATTGGTGGCAAGCTAGTAAGCGTTTTTTTGATGGCACGGATGATGAGCAGCCTCCACTTCGAGAGCCATCACCTCACCCAGAGCCATCACCTGATCGACCCGACTATACACCTCCACAACGAGAGCCATCACCTATTCTGTCACATCATCGAGCCTCTTCTCCACCATCACCTCATAATAGGCGACCGGCAAAGATGCCACAACGTTTATCTCCCTGTTCTCCAACTCCACCTCCATGGGATGAGTTAGGGGAGTTACGTGATGAGGTCAATGCCTTGCGAGAGGAGGTCGGTACTTTACGCGATGACAATGGTGCATAGCGTGTTGAGGTGTCTACTTTACATGGTGAGGTAGCCACTCTACGTGAGATGGTAGCATCGTTGCAGAATGAGGTTCATACTCTATGCAACAAGGTAAGTTTAATATTTTTCATATTTAACTTGATGATAAATTTACTCGTAATTTCACTTAGATTAACTATTTCACTTAGATTAACCATTTCACTTAGATTGCTTAGTAAATTCATTCGGTTGCTGTCAATACTGCTAAATTGTTTATTCTTTAACCCTGTGAAGTTAGTATTTGTTTTTGGTTATCTTTTGGTTGAAGTAATGCAATCCATTCAAGTTTCAATTTGCAGAAGAAGAATAGTTTACTTTTGCAAACGCGAAAATGACTATCG